ACACACACACACACACACATACACCCCTTCCATTCCTGGAGGCAGATACCAGTTGATACCTACCTAGGCATCAACCGTGTCAAAGCCAACAAGATAAAGAAAGTTCTGTCCCTGAAAAGTCACTCATGAAAGCAGCAAATGTCATTTTGTGCCATCTTTGATGAACATCTACGTAAACTAAATTTCAAAAAATGGACAAGGCCAGGGCACTCATACTCAGAAGATGAATCACTGAGTGGAATTCACTGCTAGTAAAGTTCCTCATTTGTAAAACTTTAACTGAGCACTCATCTACATCCAAGACCCCAAAACAAAACAAAATCTCCAACCCGCTTCCCCCCCTTTCCACAGAAAAGATGAAAGGGGAAATGGAGGCAGAAGAAAGAGGGGGAGGGGGCAGAGGAGGGGCTGCTGGACCGGGCAAGAACAAAGAGAGGGAAGGAGGAAAAACCTGCTGAGCATCCCAGGGACCATCCATTCCGTAGCCAGGGACGACTCCTGCTTGCCCATCTGCAGTGGGCCCTCCTTCCTTGTTTTTTACAGCATCTTATCAAGACCACTCCTCCATCAAGAGAGCGTTATTTAGGGGAGGAGGGCCTCCCCTTGCTTTATAGTACAGGATGGGCCTACGTACTCTAGACTCCAAACTAAAGTACAGCTTGTGATGGCCACAACTCATACCCAAATTTCTGTTGTTAAGTGAGACATTTGTTAAGCAAATTTTGCCCCCTTTTATGACTTTTCTTGCCACCTTTGTTGAGTGAATCGCAGCAGTTGTTAAGTTAGTGACATGGCTGCTAAGTGAATCTGGCTTCTCCATTGACTTTGCTTGTCAGAAGGTTGCAAAAGGGGATCACTTGACTCCGGGACACTGCGACCCATCGTAAATATGAACCAGTTGTCAAACATCCAAATGTAAATCACATGATCATGGGGATGCTGCAAGGGTCATGTGTGAAAAATGGTGGTAGGTCAATTTTTTCAGTGCTGTTGTAACTTCAGTCACTGAATGAACTGTTGTAAGTCAAGGACCATCTGTATCTGCAACAGAGGATTGCCTAAGGTCGGCCTGACCTATGCAGTGCAGAAAATCCCATGAGGATACTCACTCCAGCATGTGCTACGAAGGTGAGGAACCATCATCCACTCCAGGCACCCTCCTAATGAAGCTCTTTGCTAACATCCACTATCAAATTCTCTGCTGAAGGGAAGCATCTGGGCATTCACATACCCAAAAGCGGCTTCTGAAACATCCAGGACAGACTGAAAAGAGAGATGGTGACTTTGCCAAACCAAAACACAATTTTGAAGGCTCTACACAACCCTAACACTTAATAGCACCAGAGCTGGAAGTACCTGCTGATTTAATTGTCCACCAGAGAGCACAGATGTAGACGTTCAAACCGGTCAGTCTTAGAAGAGATCAACCCCGACTGCTCTTTAGAAGACCAGATCCTGAAGTTGAAACTCAAATACTTTGGCCACCTAATGAGAAGGAAAGACTCACCGGAGAAGAGCCTAATGCTGGGAAAGATGGAGGGCAAGAGAAGAATGGGACGACAGAGAATGAGATGGCTGGATGGAGTCACTGAAGCAGTAGGTGTGAGCTTAAATGGACTCCAGAAGATGGTAGAGGACAGGAAGGCCTGGAGGAACATTGTCCATGGGGTCACGATGGGTCGGACACGACTTCGCAACTAACAACAACAATAGAACTGCAGATTTTCCAACTGAAGGTTAGAAAAACACTCCATTAAAACAAGACAATCTGACAGAGAAACAACTACCCAGAAATGGCTATAGGTTGGTGTTTAGGAAAGTCGAATTCTACACCATAAACTGCCTTTCTAGCTCTGATTCTTTGTCTCAAGACCAGATTATATGTAATGCCAGGTACTAAGCTAGCTTATGCTACCTTTAAAATATAGTGACAAGAGATATCAGTGCATAAACAAGACTGGAAAGGTCACTGCTCACCCAGATTGAATTAATTTGTACTTTATGACATGCAGTCCCAGTTTTTCTCTCCCCTCTAAACCAGTCTGCTTTTATCTGCAGAGTCCATCTGCATTTGATGGACTCTTTTCTATTAAAACCTGCACAAGGTTGGGCTTAATGCAGGTGCAGGATTCATTTCCTGGACTCCCAACAGTTCATTTAGTGGCCATTCAAAGATACAACAGCTCTGAAAAAAAGTGGCATGACTATTTTTCCACACTTACAACCGTTACAGCATCCCCATGGACACGTGATCAAAATTCAGGTGCTTGGCTACTAACTCATATTTATGACGGCTGCAGGGTCCCAGAATCGTGTGATGACCCTTTGCAACCTTCTGATAAGCAAAGTCAATGGGGAGGCCAGATCTGTTTAACAACCATGTTATTAACCTAATAAGTGCAGTGATTCACTTAATTCACTTAACAACTGTGGCAAAAAAAAGTTCGTATAATGGGGCAAAACTCACTTAACAAATGTCTCCCATAGCACAGAGGACTATCTGTATTGTTTTTCTCCTGCCCTAAGAGAGTTTGTCTCATTTTTGGGGAAGGATCCCATTGGCAAGAATCGTGCCCACAGGTGACATGGGATGCAATTGAGGATTCCAAGGGGAGAAAGTCACCTCTTAAGGGTGTGCCACCTGATCTTAAGAAAAGAATTGCAGACAGCTGTTGCTTTTACTTTCCTGCATGCTCCAAAACACATTTTGGAATCAAATCTAAAGCACTGCATGACCTTACTATATATAGGAAACTTGCAAGAAATGGGTGTACCATAAGGAAGAGTGAAATCAGTCAATGATGCACCAGGATAAAGCCACCCACTGGGAAAACCGAGATTGTGTTTCTGCCAACAAGGGGTCTGTGAACCAAACCGGTCTGTTGCTGGAAGAGCCGGCACCTGTTCCAAGTTTAAAAAAAACTGGGGAAGGGGAAGAGCCTGCTGGACACAGAACTCTCTAAGGGGGACACTGAAAGGTGAACCACAGAGCAGGTACCGTACGTGTCAAACCCTAATATCCCGTGCAGACCACCTAACAGCCACCTAAGGAGTGGCACGATCATCGGATGCACAAACAAATCAGAGAGGCATCCCTATACAGCCGCAGTGGACGCAATAAAAAATAATGCTGAATTACAACTCCCGGCGTCACCGTTGGCCATGTTAGCCAGAAGTGCTGGGGGCTTAGCCATTAGAGCAGTGGTTCTCAACCTTTTTAATGCCGCGACCCCCAACCGGTCGTAAGTCGAGGACTACTCAACCGGTTGTAAGTCAAGGACTACTCAACTGGTGCAGCACCATTTGCAGAATGGGATTTTTGGCGGGCTCAGGAGGGCAGAGACAGCCTGGACAATTCCTATTGGCTTTTGAAAGCCAATAGAATTAGACTCTATTCAAGAGAGTCTATTCTATTGGCTTTCAAAAGCCAATAGAATAAAAGGGAGTAGCACAGCTAAGGAAAAGGGGAAAAGAAAATGGCGGACTGCGTTGTTTGGCGACCCCCATGAAATGGTCATTCGACCCCAAATGGGGTCCCGACCCACAGGTTGAGAACCACTGCATTAGAGCAATATTGGACCCAGAGGACTATGGTTAAATGGAAAGCTTGCCAACAGCATGAGCCCTGGTGGTGCAGTGGTTAGAATGCAGTATTGCAGGCCAAGAGTTCGATCCTGACAGGTTCAAGGTTGACTCAACCTTCCATCCTTCTGAGGTTGGTACGAGGGCCCAGATTATTGGGGGCAATATACTGACATTTGTAAACCACTTGGAGAGTGCTATAAAGCACTATGGAGCGGTATAGAAGTCTAAGTGCTTTTGCTATCGCTAATATGCGCTAGGTGGAGCCTCTCAGGAAAAGCAGAACTTTGTGGAACTTGCATCTAGTATGCTATTCCTGCAGGAGGGACCTGCTCTGCCTGTGCACGGATCATTAAATACTCTTCAAACAACTTGCACCAGGATATTTATCACAGAGCACCATAGTTAAATGGAAAGCTTGCAACCCCTTTGCCCAGCTCTGTGGGGCTCCGTGGCATCCCTGCCTGGTGCTGAAGGAGCCTTTCTCCATGGTCCCTGCCCAGACCAGAAGAGTGGGATCTGTAGTCTCTGGGTTCCACAAGGACTCTGGACCTTTGTTTTGCTTAAACCGTGTCTGTTGCCAGACATGATGGCTCCATCCAGATGTCCACAATGATGCATGATTGCATCATTTATTTATTTATTTATTTCAAACTCTTTAAAGCAGGCATTATGAAGCAATACATACCCCAAAATAACCCTTCCAATACAGAGACTTTGCACAACATGCTAAACTTGGTTGGTGCTGGCATGACTGCCCATCTGGCTACTTTGGCTACTTTGCAATTCAAAGGCACCAACTAATTCAATAACCGGATACGTATATAATTTACATATGTTTCGGAGTTTGAAAAGTAGCGCAGAAGCCACGCTCATTCGTCCATTCACAACCAGTTACAGAAAACCGGGCATCTCGCCCAGGCTCCAGGGCCGGCAACGCTCCCCCGGCCGGCCGCCTGCCTCCGATTCCGGCCTCCCGCGGCCCAGCCCTCCCCGCGCACGACTCGGCTGGACCGGACCTGCCGCCGAGGGAGAGGCGGGCTGGGAGAGGGATGTCGCCGGGGCCGGCCCGCTTAGGGGCTGCCGCTCCCGCCTGCCCGCCCGCCAGCCTTCCGCCGGAGCGGCTCGTCCTTCGCGTCCTCGGAGAGCGGCGGCTTTCCCCGGCCGTCCAGCCCGAGCATCCTCCCGGGAGGAGCGGGCCGGGCCGGGCCGGGCGGAGACGCTTCCCGACACCGCCGAGTCCGCGGCGAGGAGGCGCAAGAAGCGGCCCGCTCGAGGCCCCGTGGAGACGAGCCCCCGAGCGCCGAGGCAGCCCCGGGGGAAGGGACGCGCCACGGGCGGGCTCCCGGCAGCCGCCGGCCCCGGAGGACTCCCGCCGACCGCCACGCGCGCCCAGCCCTCGTCCGCCGCGCACTCACCTGCCGCGGGCCGCCGCTACCGGGCTCGCCGGGGACGCGCTCCTGCTGCTGCCACCGCCAGCCGGGCGCGAGAGCCCGGGCGGGACGGGGGGGCGCGGGGGCCGCCTGGGCTCGGGCCGTGCCCCGCGGCTGCCAGCCGGCCTCGGGCGCCGTCCGCTCGCGGCGCAGTTCCGAGCGCAGCTCCAGGTAGCAGCCCAACGTGACGAGGTGCAGCGCCAGCGAGAGCGCGAAGAAGCCGGCCACCGCCCGCCACGCGCCCGAGCCCCGCCGGCCGCAAGCGCAGCCGCTCCCGCCGCCCCGGTCCGCCTCCAGCGGCCGCCCTTCCTGGGGAAGCGGCAGCGGCGCCCCGCGCTCCGAACCCATCGCGCCGGCCCGGCCCTACTGCGGCCGCCCCATCGCGCCGCGCCGACTCCGCGCTGCCCGCCCGCCCGCCAGCCAGCCGCCTCTTCCAGCTGCTGCAGCCGCTGGAAGTTTCCCCGCCCGGAGGCGGGCAGGGAGGCCCGGAGGCGGGGCCGGCGGGAGACCGCCTCTGCGGGGACGGGGGGGGGGGCGCTTGGGTGCGCGCGCCTGCCCGCCTCCCCTCGCCCCTCCTGCCCGGCTGGAGGGAGCTGAGGGGCGCCCCATTTCCCGCGGCTTCGACCCGGAGGGTTTCACACCACCTGTGCGTCCGTGGAAGGTGCAGGCAGTCCTCGACTTACAACAGTTTGTTTAGTGACGGCTCAAAGTTACCTCGGCACTGAAAAAAGGGACTTGTGACCGTTTTTCACACTTAACGACCGTTGTGGCATTCGCCAGGATCACGTGGTCAAAATTGAGGTGCTTATTTCAGTTTTAGTTTTCAGCCCAGACTTAAAGATGCCCCTGAAAAAAATCAGGCAGAAGGAGAGGGACGCAAATTAGGCCAGGGGTCTTCAAACCTGGCCCTTTTATTGACTTGTGGACTTCAACTCCCAGAATTCCTCAGCCAGCAAGTCATAAAAGGGCCAGGTTTGAAGACCCCTGAATTAGAGCTTCTGAATTTCTGCTGCCTTGTGCTCTGCCGGCAGAAATCCCCCATTCGATGTCAAGGGAGGAAATCAAGGCGTTTAGAGTTAATCCTCCAAATCCCTTAGGGGGTTTGGCTCAAAACACCAAACTGCAAAACTAGCCACTTCCATCCATATAACAATCTTGCATTGTCGGGACTGCTTATGGGGGGCCTGCCCCTGGATTGCAACTGGAAAGGGCCTCTGTGTTTGCAGGAGGCAGGGAAGCCCAGTTGCTCCTGAACCCAAATACCTGAGAGCAACATTGGCTGCTTCCCTTTACGTCTGGGGCCTCTTCCCCATGTCAGAGGCCTGGATCCTAACTAGGATGGGTCTTCCACTGCAATGGCAGCCCGGAACCCTCTGCCTTCTGGGCCTCCTTGCTGAAAATGCTCAGCCCGGGGATCAGAGTTGCCCCTGGTGGGTGGCTGAGATCTGCTGGGGAGAATTGCTCCCGGCCGGGAGGGTCTCTTGTGGTCATCAGCCCCCCTCCCCTTCCTCAGCTGCTGTCTCAGAATTTGTACAGGTAGTTCTCAGTTTACAACCGTTCATTTAGTGACCATTCAAAGTTACTGTGGCACTGGAAAAAGTGACCTATGACCGTTTTTCACACTTACGACCATTGCAGCATCCCCAGGGTCACGTGATCAAAATTAAGATGCTTGGTAACTGGTTCATATTTATGACACTTTGCCGTATCCTGGGGTCACATGATCACCTTTGGCGGCCTTCTGAAGGCTGAAATATTTTTTTTGTTTTGTTTTCTGACCATCCCCTATTTTTAACTTATTTTTAAAGCAAAATGAAATCATAGTTTTACAAATGCAATAAAGGAATCAATCTCTAAATAGTCTACAGAATAATTTACAGAAAAGGCACCATTTCTTGAACATGGCATATATTTTTCATACAGATAAGTCCTTGACTTACAACAGTTTGTTGTGATTCATGAATGTTTTTCACAGTTATGACCTTTGCAGCATGTGATCAAAATTCAGATGCTGGCACAACTGGCTCATATGTATGATGGGTCACAGTGTCCCGGAGTCAAGTGATCCCCTTTTGCAACTTTCTGTCAAGCAAAGTCAATGGGGAAGCCAGATTCACTTAACAACCGTGTTACTTAATGACTGCAATGACTGCAACTTAATAATTGTGGCAAGAATGGGCAAAACTCACTTAACAAATGTCTCACTTAGCAACGTAAGTTTTGGGCTCAATTGTAGTCGTAAATGAGGACGACCTGTAATTTGTATGCCAAGATGTTAAAGATATTTTAAGTGACAATAAATGTGGCATTAGGAAGCAGACTCTTTTAAAAAGAAAATAAGTTTATCTTCAGGACTAGATAGCTTTTTTTTCGATGGCTGTAACCATTCTTTTCCTTTTTTTCTTTTCCTGTTTTTGCTTCAGGTGGTGTGCCAAGATCCAGCCACATGCCCCAGCCGTTTCCCAGCATCTTTGACACAAGCATGTTAATACAAAGTCGGTTTGATGTGATATTACTCAGTTCAGCCCCTGCAATCATGCGGAGCAGAGGAGTAACAACCTCTCTCCTCACCGACAGCCAGAAATAATCTCTAACCCTAACCTCTGCAGCATTATTGCAAGCCACTGTTTTTTATAATCTTTTATACTGACTACAAACTGATATTTCATTTTTTTTACTTTCAGCTGAGATTTTATTTTTGTATTCATCTTTTATTCATCTGTCATTTTTAATACATCTGTGGATTGCAAACTCTATCTAGAGAGCAACCTCACTTGCATTTAAGTTCTACTTCAACGTTAGCCACAGGAGAGACCAAAAGACTTTAACATTTAAGAATAGAAATTTTTAGCTTAATTTCTTTAAAAAAATAATCTTCTAAAGTTTTGGGAACTTCGAAAATACATGAAAGTTTTAATTTTTAGATGAACTTCTAGAATTTTTAAAACTTTTGAAAAAAATCTTTTAAATTTTTAAATACATTTTCAAAAAATTGAAGATGCTTAAAATTTTAAATGATTTTTTAAAGTTTTGATTTAGAATGTTTTACATTTTTGGAAAAGAAATCTACATTTTTGAACATTTTGAAAACATTTGAAATTTTTAATTTTTAAACGAATTAGTGAGAAGTAACATAGCCATGGAAAAAGAGACTGACGCTGTTGTGGTTTGCAAAGTGTGTTCCATGGATGTGCTCCTGCCCACAGAAGACCCAAATTGCACATGTACCAACTGTAAACTAAATGAATTACTTGAAGAAAAAGAAAAGGGTCTGGAGGCAACTCCACATACCCTGAGACTCAACCTACAAAAGGAGAAACTCCAATCAAAGGATGAAGATTGTATCTAAGCAAAACACAATAAGGAACAAACAACAACCAGAAGAACCTGTACGTAAACCTTTAGAGACGGACCGATGGCAACATGTGTCCCTCATAGACCAGTGATTCTCAACCTTTCTAATGCCGTGACCCCATAATACAGTTCCCCATGTTGTGGTGACCCCCAAGTGGGTGTGGCCACCAATAAGAGGGAGTAGGACAGCTAGGGAAAAGGGAAAAAAATGGCGGACAGCATGGTTTGGCGACCCCCGTGAAATGGTCATTCGACCCCAAATGGGGTCCCGACCCACAGGTTGAGAGCCACTGTCATAGACGAAAACAACGACAGCCACCCCAGCCGATCTTTGCAGTTTTGGGGCTCCCACTGCTGATGAAACAAGCCTAGTCTGGCTGCCGCCAGGCCGGGCCAGGCTTCAGCTGTAAAAATAAAGCCGGAAACAGCCCCTGAGCCCTGGCCTGCCCAGGCTTTGTGTGTGCCAAAGCAGCCCTGTGCAAGAAGCCCCTGGACCTGATGCAGCGAAGAGCCCCTTTGTACTGCGCAGAGAAGGAAGAGGAGGAGATAGTGGGGGGGGGAGTCGCAGCACCCCTGCAGTCCCTCATAAGTTCCAAGAGCTCAAATATGACCATTGTGGGGGGGGACTTCAAAGGCCTTTGGGCATGAGTTTTAAGATCCTTCATTCAGTGCTTGGACTGGCCATTGTAAAGTCGGAGTCTTGTGGAAGGAGCAGTGTTCCATGCTATCTAGTGCTGCCCACTCCAGTGCTGCCCCACTGGAGCTGAGCAATCAGTTTCATATCCTTCCCCTGGAAGAAAACAGGCAGACACACTTATGACTGTTGTAGCATGTCAGAATATTGATTTAAAGGCTAAACAGCTTATGTAATGATGTAATAAAATGTAAGGTGGATGATGCAATGATAGAAATGACTCAGCATGTATGTGTATCCCTTTAAGAGTCTGAGTATGAAAGGGAAGGCTTTGCTGGAGCCTCTCTCTCATCCGTTTCTTGCTGTTATTCCTGTGTGTTGGAGTTTGCTGTATTATCACATGTATATATTTTGTTTCTAGTGTATGATTGTAGATAATATAATATAAACCACCATTTAATACAAACCACTGTTTACTGTATTTACTCCTAGGTTACCTCAGCACAATAGGACTATGCATGCTTTGACAGATTATGGGCCTAGAGTGAGGAGAAACCCAGTAAGAGTTTGAACCAGAGCCAGAGGAGTTGAGGCTTGTGGTTTGTGGTGGTTTGTGGTGGTTTAAAGAAGCAGGCAACATGGATTCCATCAGCGTAATGGGAGGAGGTTTTGTAGTATCTTGGCTGAATGAGACAAACTACCTCTCCTGGAGTCTGAAAATGGAGATATACCTGAGAAGGGAGGAGTTGTGGATGATAGTTGTTGATCCACCTGCAGTTCTAGATGACAGAGACCAGAGAAAGAATGAGAAAGCATTGGCCAGCATAATTCTGAGTTTAGAGGATAGCCAGCTGATACACGAGGGGTCTCCAATCTGCTAAATAGTGCTGGGAAGCTTTGCACAGTGTGTACGTGAGAAAGACTGCGAGCACAAAGTTATGCTGACAAGAAAGCTAGATAAGGCACAGCTGAAGCTGGGAGAGACCATGTCTACATATTTGCAGTCCAAGAGGAGGACATTTCTAGAGTTAGAGGAAAGAGGGATGACTTTTACTGAGTCACATAAGGTGTATGTGGTGCTCAGTTCTTTGGATAATTCATGGGACATCCTAGTGACCAGTTTAGAGTTCATGTAGGAGAAGGACTTAACCATGAGTTATTTGACTGGCCAGTTGCTGGAGGAGGAACAGAAACATCTGGAAAAGCAGCAGAGGGGGTGACAACAACGCACAGCCCAAGTCTAGAACTGCTATATCGCAGAGTGCCGGCAGAGTAGCTGAGAAAGACAACCGATATTTTCCCTGGCAGCGACATTAATGAAAAAAAAATACTTGATTGTTGGACAGTGGGGCTAGTCAGCATATTGCAAATGACCCACAATTTTCCAACCTGAGACCAGCTAAGCAAGCAGTTGTTGGC